TGGGGTCCTGTAGAAAGAAAATGTTAGTATCCAGTCCATGTTAGATGGGATTCACTTGATTGAAGATCTCGCTTGAAATCCTCAACTTGATTGAAGTCAGTACCCGAACCTCTGGCCAGAGTGTCAGTTGAAATGGAGCAAGTTGGATCCAGTGCAGTCGAGGAGGTGTGGCCCATTTTCTTTCCAGGGTGTCCAGGGATTGCTGTCAGGCAGGTCTTCATTGGCTGTGTGGGACTCAAACATGAACAGTTAGCAGAGAAATGTTTGCTTGTGTATGTACACATGCTAGGGAATGCAACCATGAGAGCATAACAATTATGAAAGGGTGTACACCTTGAGAGAAAGATCCAAGAAAAGACAAAGACAGTCCCCAAATTCTTCTTTTATTCTGTATTACATCAATTGGCTTCTTGATACAATACAGAAACACTAAAGCTTAGTTAAATAATGTGCTTGGATTTTAGAGGAGGAAAGCCAAATCCACCTCTAAGTCCAGCATTGGTTTAATTGAATAGGGACTAGGAAATAAAGTGGCTACAGCTTCCCCTACAGCAGATGGCACAGATGTGGTTCTGAGCACCCCGGAATGGATCACAACCACCCATAACTCCAGCTCCAGGGCATCCAACACCCTCTCCCAGCCTTCATGTGGGCACCGAATGTGCACACGTTGTATAAATATGCATGCAAGCACACATAATGTTTTTTAAATTTAAAAGGAACCTGAGCTTCCTAGATACAATAAGCACCCTAAGCAAAAATCACATGCTTTGCATGTATAATGTTCTGGGTTACTAACTCCATGGTTACAGAAGCCATTCCAGAGAGCTGGAGAGCATGACCTGGAAACACAGGTGACACACAGTAATGCACACTTGAGTAAATAACCATAGAGGTGACACTCGTGAACAGGCCTGTGGACTGTGACACGCGTGTACAGGCCAATGTGGGCTGTGATGCATGTTCAAAGTAAGGAAAAGTGGGGAGATTGCTGAGAATGGGGTCTTCAGAACGGGATTTTTACATTGACCCACCACACACATACACACACACACACATACACACACACGCACACATATTCACACACACATACATACACACACACACACACACATACACACACACACACACACACACACACACTCCGAGAGAGAGTCGGAGGGCAGAGCAGAGAGACTGGCAGACTGAGTTGAGCAGCCGGGTGTGCTGCGTGCAAAACTCCTCATGTAACTGATGAAGAGGACACAGGACAGAAAGGACAGCTGGGCAGAGCAACCCATGCTCATCTGCAGCAGGCACTGAGGTGGAAAAATATTAAACCCTGGCTGTTGTCCAGTTTGGCCAGGACCCCAGATGGGTCATCTTCCATGCTTGCTACTTCCTGTTCCTTTGATAGGTGGTGTCAAAGCTCTCCTTTCTTTACAAAGAGAGGGCGAAAGTAGGTGGGTTCCTTCAAGTGTGAGAACCAGACACAAGAATAACCTTATTGCTTCTAAAGAAGACATTTTCAGCATAGGAAAGAGGGAGGGGGCTGGGAGGAAGCTGTGCATTAGGTTTGATAGCTTGTTACAATTATTCAGAAAAAAAAAATAAACGAGAGGGGGCAGGGGAGGGAGAAAAGAAAGGAAGGAGAGAAAGAAAGACAAAATTTTTCTCTTCAATTTATGTATGATATTACCTGAGGACACACACACATACATACGTGTATGTATGTGTGTGTGTATGTGTGTATGTGTGCACATATAGGATATATGTAATGCGTGTGTATGTAATGTGTATTATCCAAAGAGATGCAAGTATGTTTTCATGCAGTAGATAACATTAAAGCAGATACAGAAACATGTTATTACTTTATGAGCCTGCAGGAAGAGTACATATGAGTACATCTTTAAGAAGCTTTAAAATTTTGGGTCAAGAACATCATCATGAAAAGCAATGGCACAATCTGCACTTCTAAGATTCTATCATTGTCTATCACTTCCTTTCCCTACTACAGTTCATAGGAGTTCCGGCTGGAAGGACAGACCCCTTCTCCACGGCTACCTTGCATTTGTGGTTCAGCTGAAGCTTCAGAGGCAGTCCAGTGCTCTAGGTGTCACGGCTCTGAGCTGCTGCTCCAAAGCAGGGTTTTGAGCGTCATTCTGAAGAGCTTCCCGTGCACTGAACTTTCAGAAATGAGCTACACAAGAGGCAGAAGTTTGGACCAGATAAATCCTTTCCCCCACACCCCCA